CAACTGATTTGCAGTTAAAAGGCAAGAAGTTAGTATAATTAGTGCAAAACACAAAAGCTGCACTTAGAAAAAATTCCCAGCTTTGATATTTAGAACTAAATGGTGCTAATTGTGTTTTTCAATTACCACTGGGACCATTTCTTTTTACTGTAGAAGGTCATGGAACAGGTCATCCACAAACCACCCTGCACTCAGTAAGCCAGGGAGATTATATGTAGGGGATTTTGTGTGTGTTTGTGAGTGTGTGTCTGCGTTGTCTCAATACCTGGCTCAGCATTCACACTCTCTGACAGCAGGCTAATATTGTCTGATGCTTTTTCATCCTGTGCTATTCTCTCCGGTTCACTCGTGCACATTTAGGACACCGGCACTCCAAAAAAGCTGCTCTTCAGAGGCTTTTTGCCCTTGTTTGGAGAGCCCTGTTTTAATGACACGTAGCACTGTCTGAACTGGCATTGTTGTCTAGCCCAGTAGTTGGAGAGACTGCTCAACATGGACGGAGGTGGATGAAAGCCAGCCTCCACCCAGTTGGAAGTCTAAATAATGAATAAAAATCGATTCATTTGTTCTGCATAGCTCTGCAGATGGCAATTATTTCTCACAATAAAACAACGAAAATCTGTGTACATTCTAGAAACATCACCTAGTTAGTAAATGTATCATCCTTTACACTCACAAATCCAGAGGTACAGCACATATAGCTCCATCGAAAGATTTTCTTGATATCCTGGTGAACCTCGGCTCTAATTTATTTCAGTTCTTGACCCCCACATTAAGAAATCGATCGTTGCAAAGTAAAGTGGTGACTTAGCTCCTGCGGAGGAAAAAGCAGATTGTGGCTTTTTTTTTTTCAATATGTTTTAAGCTTCTGGTCATAGGTCAAGCCACAGGCTGTAGGAAGAAGAACAGCGGTACTGCCTGGAAGGTCCTATCAGTTATTTATGTGGCCTTTCTATACATATGGTGGTTTCTGCCAGGGGATCTGGGAAGTAGCCCCAGATGGAGAGGCAACAGAGTTCGAACAAAACAATGTAACACGAAGCTGCTTTGGTTGGTTAGTGGGAGAGCGGTATGAAGAAATCAAGGCTTTAAGCACTAGTCAACATTTATGTCCAACACATCACAACTCATTGGTCCTTGAACTTATTTTCTGTCTTTTCTGCTTACAAAATAATTTCCACTTTCCTTTACCCACCATTGTTTACCACTGATTTTGTTTTACATTAAAATATAAAATATGCACTCTTAATAAATTTGCTCTGCATTATTGGGTAACTGTAAGTAGATGTAACTGGAATTATGTGTGTATGCTCCTTTCACTAGTAAATACTTTTGGTTAAAGTCACCAAATTAATAAAGAATAATCCTAGACAAACACATTGTGGGTAAACTAATGAGACCTTGAAGTTGTAGACCTCTGTTAATGCTTTCTTGATTGTCTATTAATAAAACAACACAAACTGATTTCTGACAAAGTCTGCTGTTCATGAAAAAAACATATTGTATGAAACATGCCTTAATCCCAACAACATATCTACAAATTGAGAAAATTCTGGACTTTTTCTGTTCTCACTACGGAGAAAATCCTGCAAATATTACACCGAGAGCACAACGTGCACACAAGAGAACACTGGAGTAACAGCAAAAGCCGTGCAAAATAACTAGCTAAAATATTGCTTAATAAACACCTGTTTATACGTGGGGACAAAATTGAAATTTCTCACTTTAAAGGAAAATGAGGGCGATAAGGGCTGCCCGCATTAATACCAAATCCTAATCCCAACTGTGAAGCATGGTGGAGGGAGCATCATGGTTTGGAGCTGCATTTCTCCATCAAGACCTAAAAGCTTTCCGGTCATTGAGGGAACAAAGAATTCTGAATTTAATCAAGATTTTTTGTAGACGAATACCAAAGCTGTAGTCCACGACATGAAGCTTAGGAAGGGTGGGTGATAAATACAAAACACTGATACAGAAGACCAAAGTCAGTCAACATCAGAATGGTTGAAAGATTGACGATCCACTAAACATTTCTTTCACTCACTTCTTTTTTTTATACAACACTATTGCATTTAATTAATATTTATTAATTTAAAACTTCCACTCACTTCCACAGTGTGTCTTTTGTTCTCACCCCCAGCTGATGGTGAAAGATGGCCGCCCCTCCCTGAGCCTGGTTCTGCCACAGGTTTCTTCCTGTTAAAATGGGGTTTTTCCTTCCTACTGTTGCCAAGTGCTTACTGATCGGGGGTCACCTGATTGTTGTGTTTTTTCCTCTAATATTGAGACATCTTTAGCCTACATAATAAACCTCCTTGAGTTGACAGTTGTTATGATTTGGTGCTATATAAATAAGACTGAATGAAGTGAATTCACTTACTTTTTCATGTCTGGACTGTCTGAAAACATTAAAAAAAAAATATGAACGGTACAATGCTGCGTTGTTAGTCCAGTCAGATTTACTTTGCCTGTTTCAAGAGCAATCAGTGCATAAATCCAGATACATCTAATGGTAGTGTAGTTTTGTCTATTTTAAGAGAAGGCTATAGAGTACAGCAAGGTATGCTGTTTAACCTTGAGGTGGAAATGGAGATGTGCACACTGGGGAAGCAGGGATGTAGTTCAGCAGTGCTGAGAGCTGAAGAAGGTGGGCACTTCCTCCTCATTTCTTGTCTGCCTGCCTGTCTCCATGTCCCATAAACCTAATCAGTTTGTCTGCATTCATTCACACCACTCCTACATGGGGCTGTCTTTATCTCTTTTCCACTGTCACCGTATCTCCTCTGCTGTGCCGCTTTCTCCTGAGCTGTCTGCTGCTCCCTGCCAGGGAAACTCTCTGAATTAGAGCACCGAGCTCGTGTCCAAGCACCCTCGGGTCATTTCAGTCAGTCTCCGCTCTGCCAACTAGTACAGCAGACATGCACTTGCAGCATATTTTTGTGCAGTTCAGAGTCCCAGTTTCCCCAAGAAAACATCTCTGCTGTGTGATCATCTCAAGTCGTGCGAGCAAGCAAATTAAAACGCTTTGGAGTCCCTTCAGCGTATGGATTTTTTTGAAACACACAAATAAACACTGCACTAAAATCTTAAGGATTTAATGACAGTCTCCCGCTCAAAGGTACAACTTTTAAGGCAAGCTGGTAAAATCGCATCTAAATGGAGCTTTTGGAGGGATAAAGATGCACATTTATGCTTGGTTAGAAAGCAAGGGGCACTTAAATGCTAACAAAATGAGACTTTCTCATTACTCAGTCACTTGCTTGCCACATAAAAGCAACTCTCCCCATGTAATGATGAAGAGGTACGCTTATGACTGTAATTAGGACAAGAATTGGGCAGGGAGCTCTTGTGCATATTGTCCTCCATGTGTTCAGGTCAGCTGTTTTTAGTAGGTCACATGTCCCTAAATCTCTCCTATGCCATCAGAGGAAGCAGCCACGCCACCACACTGTATCCCTGATCCTTCACGAGAGCGTTACGCCAGCTGTTTGCATCAGCTCATGCATTACTGACAGGAGCACAGGATGACATATCCATAATCGCATTGCACTCTTCAGCATTTGGGGTTAACCCCTCACTCTCCTGATACCTCCTCCTCCTCCTCATCAATCCCTCTCATTGCCTCCCATCCATCCTCACGCCTACTGAGCTCGTCCCAGGTGCCTGCTTTGCCTGTTCAGCCACTCAACCCACCCACGCCCTCACACTCTCAGTCCCAGCGAGCAGCAGCAAACGTTTTCCTGCGCTCTCCTTCTCCTCTCTGCTGCCACCCACTCCAAAAGGGGCTGTGAATCACTGGCTGACACACTGAAGCACCAGCAGGGCTCTTGTGTTTTATTATTATATTTTTTTTAAGATGGTAGAGCAACCAACATCTCTTTTCCCCCCTTGGTTTGTGTAGCAGAGCGCATTATTATTATGGGACTAGGTAAAACGCTTTGAAAGATAGCTACAGTTTGTGTAACCATGCGAGGAGGTTACAGGCCGACACAAGTTAATGTCTAAGTGTGTCGGTGTGTGTCTCTAAGTGTAAAACGATGGTGCTGGCACGTGTGTGTGTATGCACCAGGGGGACAGAGAGAACAAATTAATTGTTCTCTCATGGAAAACGTTGTTTAGCACTTAGTGGAGTGATTCATGCGTCTCTAAAATCAGCCTGTGCAAGTGACAGGCGAGTCCTTGCTGTCTTTTCACAGAACTACTGCTCAATGATTCATGTCCCCCAATCTGTCAGCCAGTACCGACTATTGTATGAGCTGCAGTTGGATCAAAACACAGTTTACATGTAGGACGACTTCTCAGGGGCATTTGCTTCAGCTTGATTTCCTGCATGATGATGATAAGTTTGTGACTTGGGTTAAGGGCACCTGTAACGTCATGAGAGACCACAGAGATGGTATAAAATAGCTAGATACTGAGCTTGTGTAGCAGGCCTACTTAAGCTGAAGTATCTGATATCCGATGTTAAGATGATAAGTGTCCAATGAGGAATGGAACTAACAACTGAATTTAAAACGATCAGTAGTCTGGGGCCACTCTCTTGGCTATGTCTCTATTAAAAAAGGTGATCTCTTTAGCTTCGTATCTGCTAAATAAAGGATATAACTGTCATGCATTCCTGATATTTAGTACAGTCTGGCAGTCTGGTGTGTGAACTACTCCGTCATTGATACATAGCAGGTTGCATCTTCAGGAGCATTTGTCAGAAGGACACAGTGTGACTTTGCGCCTTGGATTCTTAGCTCCCAGCAGTAATGTTGAGCTGATGCATGAAGTGCATGCAGACTTATAAACTGCTTCTATTTGCAGTTACACAAATTGCCCTTCTTTTTGGTTTGGCCTTTCCACTCTGGAGTGGACTGCGCTCACGCCTGATTGAAGCATTTAAGCAACAAACAGCCTGCATACACTCGCTGCCTTCCGGTTACACTGCTTCAGCCACTTGGCAATGCGAGATCATTTTCACCCACCGACAACTGTGATTGTCTGGACTTCGATCTGCCAAGAAACGCTCCACACAGATGGCGAGAGAGAGAGAACACGGAGGTTGATTTCTCCGTCTCTCTTTCAGAGGGCCCCGGCAATAAGCGCGCTCTAAACATTCTCTAAGTGGGTTGATTGTGCGCTTGTTGACATGTTTGTGTGCCTACGTGAATGTAAGTGCATATTTATGAGTGTGAGCATACAGTGTGTGTCTTTCAGCGACTCATTCTGCCTGCGGAAGCTACACGGGCATTGTGAGGACTCGGCAGGGAGCTCTGCTCCCCTTGTGTTTGCCAGGAGCAGCTTTCCACCCACGGTGGGCAGGCAGGCGCGCAGGCTGGGCTGGCATTCACTGGATCACTTGGGTAGAAAGTAGGGAAGGCACACAGCCATTCATGGTAACATTATGCACATGGGGAACAGGAAAGCTCTGGCGGATCTTCTCCAATTCTCTTCTTCACCAAAAGAAGAAATGCTGTAATTGGGCCGCCGCACCGAAATAAGAAATGTGCGCACATACAGCACTTTGGTGCGGGGTGAAGACGACAGAGCGTTCTGCAGGTTCGATATGTGATCGATAATAAAAATAATAATAATTTAGTTCCCTCCTAAAAATCCGGAAACATATGCAGTTTGGAGGATCAGGTTGGTGCCACACGACACGACATTGGCAAGCCAATTCAAAAGCGCACTAATCCGCACTGACCAATGATGATTGGCTCCTATGCAGTTAACAGACAGTTGGGGTCGCCAGGAGTCCGGAGTGCAGCCCGACACGCTGGGAACCATGTGTGCGTCAAAGTGCCCATATACAAGTTTCATTCATCAGATGACAGCGACTCTTAAACGCCCCGTTTTAAACAAATGCTATGTGTAATGTAACGTTAATCTAAACCTTGTAGCTCTGCTGTGTTGTCGCTCTTTATCACGGCTCATCAGAGTAGAAACAGGAGAATACAAACTGACGCCAAATACAGAAGCGAAGATTTAAAAGAAATAGTTCAGAGCAATTTGGCAGTATTGTTGTGTGTTGTTGGCTGTCGGTCCTTTTCCTTCTCTCTCTCTCTCTCTCTCTTTTTTAATCTTTCTCTCTTCCACCGACACACACACACACACACACCTCCCACCTGCTCTCTCTCTCTTTCTCTCTCTCGCTTTCCTCACACTTTTCCCAAGATGGCGGCAGCCTCATCCATCCAGCCGCCGAGCGTTCACTCTTCTCTAGCCCGGGATAGCGCACTTTCCCCGGAGATGGACAGCCCCGAGAGCCGGCAGCACGAGGACGAGGAGGCGACGGCAGCGCAACCCCCGGACTCCGGGATTAGCCTCCGTGACCTGCCGGACCTGGAGCCCGAGGAAATCGAGAGGAGGCTGGCCAAAACTCGCAAGGAGCTGAGCAACAGGAGGAAAATCCTCATTAAGAACCTGCCGCCTGACACCACCAACCAGGTATACATGTCAGTTTACGGTGGAGAAATAACAGGGTGGAGCTCTTTTTCTCTCACCCCCCCAACATTTTACGCACGGACTCCTGCTTTAAGCCTTTTAACCTTCATTTCACGGCTTAGTTCTGACACCCGCGAGTGTGATCGCGGTCTCAGGTCATGACTTTGACCACATCACCTCCTGATCAGATATAAACTTTACAGGGAACTTTCCGAGTGTATCCGACTAGCTCATGGTAAACTTATCATTGTATGTAGCTTACTTATCTTTCCTGCATGTTTTTTCCAACATGATGTCAGATTCTGATTGGGGGGATCCACGGGCAGAGTCACTTCGAAGTTCCTCTTTTTGCTGTGTGACTTGCGTTTCCCATGGGTCTCACCTCACTGTAGCTGGAAGTGCATCATTTGGCTGCTGCTATAAGTGAAACGGTGTGCCTGAATTTGATTTGTGTGCAGTCAGACTCGTGTAACAGGTGAGCTCGTGGGAAAGCAGCCAGAAGGATGCAAAGTGGGGTGTTTTTCAGCAGGAGGAGACGCTGCAAAATGCAGTCTGTCGTCTGCAGACTCTCTGATTAAATCATGAAATGCATGCGGCCTTTTCTGCTTTTAGCTTTATGCCCTCTGCGTGTTTTTGCTTTGTGCTGCGTAAAGTTTAACATCAGATCTGCAGACTGGCAATCGACAGCAAGTTGTACTGTTGTAATATTGTACAAATACTGTACTCTACTGTGGCCACACAGGTGTGGATCCCTGATCTCTGACCTTTGCTCGTTCTAAACAGTTTCCCCCAATTTCCTAAAAACAGAAAGCACATCATTTCAATTTTGCATGTTCACCGAGGACCACAGAGTGTTTTCTTTTCTTTTTTTCATTTCTCCTGCTAAGTGTGATCCATCACTTGTGTCAGCCCGTGAGCCTTTATGAGGCAGCGTGTTGAGGGCGCTGATGGTGTGTATTCCTTCAGGCTTGTACCGCCGCACATTCTTTGAGAGGCTCTCAGCCAAAGAGTACCAGTACCTCGGCCGGGTGTTTGCGCGGTGAGCGTGGAAGAAGAGGGGGGAGGAAGGGTGAGAATGCATGGTGTGTGTGAGAAATGAGAAGTGGAGGTAAGATTGAGAGTGGTGGTGGTGGTGGTGGAGGGTCATTTGGCTCAGGTGAAGCAGCAAAATTGGAAGTTCTCTCTCTCTCTCTCTGTCTCTGTGTGTGTGTGTGTGTGTGTGTGTGTGTGTGTGTGTGTGTGTGTGTGTGTGGTTTTTTCCCCCACATTGTCGGCGTGTCAGATGGAGCGTGATGTGCTGGGGGGGGGACCAAGCTCAGCGGCGTGAAGTCCTGCGCTGCTGAATGTGCCACATAAATCTGTCCATTTAAAGGAGCACTGCAGGAGTGTCTCTTACTGAGACATGACACGGTGTGAGTTTCCACTGGTGGAAGTGAAGGTGATGTAGTTGGACTGACGCGAGCTCGGCCTTTAGATCTTCAGAAATGAGCAGCATAGGAGAAGGGAAAAAACAAAAGTGTTTCAAATGACATCACAGCACTCATAAATACTGTCCCCATTATGGCGAGTATGGCGCTGTGTGGAGCAGCCTCTGGGTGCGATTGTCAGAACGATCCAACATAAATCTTGTGTCAGCTCCTTAAACATGAACTTTCTGCATCTTTCTCATTTGTTTGGACTCCACTGTTCAACAGTTGGTTGGGCTAAAATGCGATTTCAAGACACCACCTGGAGCCCCCCTTCCCCCTAATTTTCTGATTTAATTTATTAAGCAGTTCATTAACATCTTAATCAAGACTAATCAGTCAATAAACAATCGGACTCCCACGAGCACTGAAACGGAGACATCTTGTTAGTGCGCAAGACATAAAATCCTGCAGCTGTTCTCGTTCGGTCCTGTACAGAGATGCGGTGATGCTCTAAGTGCTGGTGTTTACTGTATTTTATCTTCAGTGAGGTTATAGATTTATGGCAAAGGAAAGTCCTCATTACAGTCTTATATAACCCGACTGATAGGCCCAGCAGCACCCAGCCGTCTCCATCTCCCCATTCCCCTCATTCCCACTGCCCCATTACTGAACACTCGATCGCAGGCCGCATGTGCGTGTATGTGTGTGTCCACAGTAGACTGTGTCAGATATATGGCCCCGTTGACAGTCCTCATTTTAGGGGAGAAGTGGGGGAAGGGAAAAGGGGAGGAACAGAGGAAGGGTACAGTGTGTTTGCGGTAATGAACTTGGGGAGAATTGTCACAGAAAGCCTCAGCTCCCATCAGCTTTATGGTGCTGTGTTCAGTTTTCAATTCAGTGTTTTTCTGCTTTGCATTTTTTAAATCCTTTTAAAGTCACTCTTGTTATGCAGCTGTTCAACCCCCCCCAAAACCCAACTGTAGAATACCTGCTCAGCGCTAAAGAGACTGAGCAAGGATCGAGCTGACGGACACTCTGCGAGCAGCTAAAGAGCCAGATATTTCCCTGAGGTGTTGGTACATACCAGAGCTAAAAGGGCATGAAAATTGGTCTTATATTAACTTAGCGGACCGAGAGACAGATAATAACGTTGCGCCTCGACTGCTATATAAATAATCTAACAAGTTTGTTGGTTTCAGAGCACAGCAAGTGCTGTGTTTTAAGAAAAAGAAAAAAAGAAGGAAAGGGGGAAAAAGGCAGTTATTGTAGGATTGTAGGTTTCCGTCATCTCCTTCCTTGAGTGCAAGTCTAACTACACTTTTTAATTTAAGCAGGTTAAGCGTCCAGTGTACACATTGTATCCTAATATATTAAAAGCCCGGGCTCGGTTGAGATCTCATCTTGAGGTCATTGTTTTTGGACGATGTTAGATGCGCTGCAGTTTTGGGGTGGCATCCTGAATCCTGATTACCCTTCAGGTTGTCTTTGATGTGTATATGATATTAACATTTACCTGCAGCTGTCTACAGATTTCGACCAGTGCTACTCTGTTTACCTCACTTGTACTTGATGCCACCTCGTTGCAGTGTCCATGTTAACAGCCTGGAGCAAACACAGAGCCCGCTCTGGGAAAAACAGGAGACCACTGCTCCCACAAGCATCACAAACGGCATAACATTCACAACAAACAGAAACTCGGCAATCATCTGACTTGATGTTAAGTTGTGGTTGAAGACACTCAGTTATTATGTAACTTTGTGAGCTTGGTGGATTCTACACCACAGTGGAAAGGCTGCGTGGGCTGATTAGGGGTGCTGTGTCTGTTCAGTGCTGTCCATGAATAAATGTGATTACTAATGCAGAAAAATAGAGCTTTTGATATTCAGTGGTGGTGGAGGGGACTACTAGCACCAATAGTAGTAGTGAGAGGGGGAGAAAAAAATCTGAAAAACATCAAATTCACTGATTCTTAAGCCTGTGTTTGCGATATGCTGTTTGAAACCCAGAGAGCATGTTTACATACTCTCGCTTTTTATTGACCGAAACCTACATTTTGGTCAACTAATGGTGGCAGAGCAGGTTCACAAAACTCGAACAGAAGTTTTAAATAGCTCTCCAGGCTTTTAGCTCGAGAGATTTCCACACTACTCTACCTACACAAGTAGTCTTGTAATGGTTTGCTCTCCACATATAGACATATTCTATTGTTCAAACATGTCATGTTTGACAGTTTTAGTTCCTGCCAGCTTTTGTTCCACCTCATTCCCGCGCCATTCCTGTCCTGGAGAGGTGGCTCACATGCACTCCAAAGAGAACGTTGAATTGATGATGTGCCTTGACACCTGCGGCTATAAACATGCCTCTTCCAGGACAGATTTCCACCTTTTGGAACCCATCCAGACACGCAGTCTCTGAAAAACATCGCCACTTGGGTCTGGGCAGGATTAAAAAACCAAAGATGTGCTCTCTCTTCCAGATGCTGACCAACACTCTGAAAGTCATTCGTTTTGTCCGGAATTAAAAACACATTATTTTTTTATGAGCCACTTGATCCACACACCCTGATTTCTCCGTTAAGCACTATTAAGTTGATAAACTAATTGTTGGTGCCACGTGCACAGTTAGCTGTGACGTGCACGGTGGCGTTACACGGTGATGCAGCCTTTTCCTTATATATGATCTTTGTAGGAACGCAGCTGAAAGTGAGCTCAAAGTCAACACATTTACCACACAACACCCAAGTTTCCTTTTACCACTTAAAACATTCATCACAGCAGGTATAACCGTCTGCTAGCTGTGGCATTTTAACCTGAAAAACCTCAGTGTTTAGTACATTGTTGCTTCCAGGAAATGGGAGTAAAGGGAGCTAAAAGGTTCCGTAAAAGGGATTTGCTAATATTGGACTGCGAGGGTTATGTGAATAAGATGCCAGTCATGCAGATGAATAATGCCAGTTTCAGATTATAGTATGCATGATAGCCCAACTCAAATTAGGCTAAAGTATTTAAAATTCATAGCGTCTGCGTTATGCAGTCCTAATATAGTCCCAGAGTTGCTTTCCTCTTCCTATTCGTAGGCCTTTCAAAGCACATGACAGCCAACATCACACATGCGCCATTGTTCATTTACAATCTCGTGTGCAGAAATCAACCCCGTTCGCCTTCCCACTGACATCATGTAGGCCGTAAAAGACGGGGAAGCAACGGCAAAGATTTGACTATGAACGCGTAATCTGACAGGGCTACTATCTTGTATCAGATACTGTGTAGTCGCAACCTGCAATTAGTTGGAAGTAACGGGAAGTACAGCCGGAAGTTGACACAACTTTTAATAATCCCAAGCAGCGAGTCTAAAATCATTTTCAGAGGCACAACAGTGTAAAATAAACGGGGGCAGTGTGGTTTTATTTGCACAGAGGAGGTTAACTTCCAGGGTCTTCTGCCAAGTTCTTGAATTAATCAGCTTAAAAACAAACACAAAACTTTTTTACAAGGTGTGTGTGTGTGTGTGTGTGTGTGTGTGTGTGTGTGGTGATATGTTTGTTTGAACACCATGAAAATGTGTGTGTTTTGCATATGTACAGGTAAACACAAA